TTGTTCCTAATTAATAAAATTTACTATAAGTAGGTATAAGATAAAGCATAGTATAGGGTTTTGTGCTCCCTGAAGATTCAGGCATTCACTGACAGTCTTGGAACGTATCCCCTGTGGACAAGGAAAACTGCTATGTTACAGTACACCAAGAAAAGCTACCATTTATTGACTGTCTGTTTAATGTTATGCACAGTGATAAATGCTTTACATCCTTTTCTTCCCTACCTACCCCCAGTTTACAATACCTTGAGTCAGTCTTGGTTCTGTGCTTTTAAAACAAGGGACAACTAAACAGCAGGGCATTTAGTAATTACCCAAGAAAGAATATAACCAGGGTTTAGATAAATTTTTGTCTACTTTCAAAGTTTTTGCTCTTAACAAAACCTGGCCTTGTCTTGCTGAGATCTGAGAGCATAAATGTTTCCCAGTGATGGTCTGTCTTCTACATGTATCTGAGGACAACTTTGGAGTTTGTTTTTACTGTCTTTACATGTTATAACTAAGCCAAAAAGGAAAATCATTATTTCCTAAATATGTCAGTCATTACTTTCCATTAGTTTCCAGTGAGTGATTGTTTTGTCGCTCGTAATGTTTCATTACCAAACACTACTAAAAAAAGTGTTGTAGTGTCAGATCCAACTCATACTGACTCTGTATAGACTTAGAACTGTTTGCCTTGTGCTTTCCAGTCCATTTCTTATCCTACAGTGCCCCCACACCAAGATTCCTGTAAAGATTTACAGCTTAAAACCTCCTGTATAGGGTTACTATGAGTCAGGACCGACTCCAAGGCACACAATCACCACACCACCACCGCCGCCACCATCAGCACCACTACTTTGGGATGAGAGAATTTACTCAGAGATTAAAACTTCATTCAAGATCTTTTATTGTTTGTGAAATAAAATTATAATCTTATATGAATTGTGCTTTCTAGGTATTTATGCACTTCAGTTTGGGTCAGAAAAAAAAATCTTGCAATTGGCAAAAATATATAATCCTGTTAGCAGAAGCATGTGCTTTGACTGTAACTTAGCTCAAGCCTTTAATGTTGTTGAGAATGCCCTTTTCTTTTTTACAGATTCCTTGGTGTTACTCAGTTTTCACCTACACATGCCAGAAAAGCATTTCCTTGTTTCGATGAGCCAATCTACAAAGCTACTTTCAAAATCAGCATCAAGCATCAAGCAACCTATTTATCTTTATCCAATATGCCAGTGGAAACTTCTGTATTTGAGGAAGATGGATGGGTTACGGATCACTTTTCACAGACCCCGCTCATGTCCACGTATTATTTAGCCTGGGCGATTTGCAACTTCACATACAGAGAAACTACGACCAAGAGTGGGGTTGTTGTAAGTATTTTAAACTTAATTATCTTTTCGGTTAATGTGTCCCCTGAAAGTAATTTGACATCTGTTTTGACAGTGAATCATTTCGAACCTTTGTATATTTTATTTAGCTGAATTCTCGTCTCTTAGGGAAAAAATATTTTCCTTTTTTCAAAGAATCAGAGAGGAATTTTTTTCTATACCCTACTCTTATTCCTTTAAACACTTGCTATTCCCATCGCACTCCATCCCTGTTTCTCCTTATTTTCACCTTATACATGGAACCGACTCGAAGGCACTTAACAACAACAACAACATGGCTATCTCTGGAGCAGCTGTTGCCTGTTTGGTGAAATTATCTGCTGTGATTGATGAGATTTGGAAAAACGACTTCTTTTAAGATTATGAAATATTTCACATATACAGAAAATGTGAAGAGTACGATAATAAAACCCATGTACTTACTTATAAAAGTAAACATTTTAGTGTTGTTGTTTCAGTACAATGTAACTTTTGTGCAAGTGAAATTATGGAGTTACTGGCTTGTGTATCTCCCTGAATCTTCCAGAATTTCCTTGCCCTGCTTCTTAGAGATAACTACTGCCCTACTGTCTTGAATTTGATGTTTTCAATTTTTTGCATATTATCATAACATTATTATATGTAAATATGTACATCTACATCTATATCTATATACCAGCTATATCCTATAAGGAGCTCTGGTAGCGTAGTGGTTATGAGTCGGGAGAAAGATGAGGCATAGTGCTCCCGTAAAGATTTATAGCCTCGGAAACCCTGGGCAAGGGTCACTATAAGTCGGAACCAACTCCACGGTACTTAACAACAACAACATATCCTATAGCACCAAGTGTAGGGTTTATGAATTCAAGAAATTCTATTTAACTGTTTATATAATTCGTTTTATATTATAGATACCATTCTGCAGTTTATTTTAGTTTCATTTTACTTTTTGCATAAGATTATGCTTTTATGGTTGGTCTGGATATAATGGTAGAACGAATATTTTACAGTTTGTGAAACCTCCTTTACATGAACATTTTACTTTCTTGAATTTTAACTACTAACAATGCTTTGGTCAATATATGTATATGTGAGTTCTAACCATGTACTTGTGCTAGAATTACTGTAAGATATAAACCAACTATTTTCTATTGTGTCCTATTGTTGTTGTCGTCAGGTGCTGTTAAGTCTGTTCTGAGTCTTAGTGACCTTATGTACAACAGAATGAAACACTCCCCAGGCCTATGCCATCATCACAATTGTTGCTAAATTTGATCCCATTGCTGCTCCCACTGTGTCAGTCCATTCTCATAGGGGGTCTTCCTCTTTTTCACTGACCCTCCGCTATACCAAGCATGATGTCCTTTTTTAGGTACTTGTCCCTCCTGATAACATGTCCACAGTATGAGAGATGGAGTCTTGCCATCCTAGATTCTAAGGAACATTCTGGTTGTACATCTTTCAACACAGATTTGTTTGTTCTTCTGGCAGTCCATGGTGATTTTAATATTCTTCCCCAACACCATAACTCAAATATAAATCAGAAACAATGACAGCAGGTTAGGGGATTATAAACTTCTTTTAGGCTGTTAATTGCCATTTGTTCATGATTATGTTCTTAGGGGAGGGTGAGATATAATGGTCCTGGATTATCTACTGTTTATATTGTTTCTAGAGAGCGCTGGTGGTACATTAGTTAAGTACTCTACTGCTAACCTAAAGTCTGGCCATTGGAACCCATCCAGAGACTACATTGGTGAAAGAATCCTGTGAAGATTCCAGAAAAAAAATATTGCAGCTGAGACAACACCACGGGGCAGTTCTATTCTGTCACATGGAATCACTATGAGTCTAAAAGAATCTCAGTGACACTTAATAACATATGTAGTTTATAATAAAAATCATATGAATTCTCTTTGATGGCTACCTTTTGTTAAACCACAGTATTCTAGATACTTTGTGCATGCTGTACAATCTATTAGCCAGGCTAACTCATGCTGAGTTACAAATCTCCTCTCTATTTCAGTGGCTCACATGATAAATATGTTGTTGTTAGGTGACATTGAGTTGGCTCTGACTTATAGGGACACCACACATAACTGAACAGACATTACTAGTCTTGAGCCATCCTCACAATTGCCATGCCTGAGTCATCTATTGTAGCCACTGTGTCAGTTCATCTCATTGAGGAATTTATTTATTACATTAAAATGCATTTTATTTTATTTTTTGCATTCAATGTTACTTAGTAATCCTGGTGTGGTTGCTGTAAGATAAGCACTGGACTACTAACCACAAGGTCAGTGGCCTAAACCTGTGTGTCCCTCAGAGAATTCAGGTAGCAGTTCTCCCCATCTAGTGCTTATCATATTTAGTGTTGCTTGAATACTGCAGTAGAGATAAAAAGAAGTCTATATTCTTACTCTGTATGAAGTTCTTAGCTGTATAATAACCCAAATTTTGATAAATAGATTTAGCTAAATAAATTTTCCTCCTTGTTACTTTTCATTTAAATCACTGTGGAACCTATTTAAAAAATAAATCTGCCTGCATACAAAATTTATACCATTATTGAAGAACTGTATAGAGTGAATTAATCTACATGATCATTAAAACAATGTTCTAAGTACTATGCATATAGACTGCACATACAACCAAACCTGCTGCCGTTGAGTAGATTCTGACCCATAGAAACCCTGGTGGACAGAGTAGATAGAATTGCCCCTATGGTTCAGGGCCAGCATTCGCTCCTCAGAAAATCCTATACAGGGTTGCTATGGGCTGGAACTGACTTGACAGCACTTAACAACAACAGTCTTTCCAGAAGCCAAGTGCTACATCTTTTTCTCCTGGAGCAAATGGTGGGTTCAAATCACCAATAGTTGGTTCAAAGACAAGCACTTTAACCACTGCACCACCAGGGATCCTATACAGACTGGCTGTACAGGGACATTTGATACGATGAATCCCTTAATGTTTGTTGGTTTCTCCTGTGGACATTTCAAGCCTGTACACTTTAGACCATCCAGAGAAAAGGAATGCTAAGACATCTCATTTCCTTTTATGTCTTCAAAAGTTGGTGTTTGACTTTCTGTGGGTCAGTTAACATAAAATATACTGGAAATGCTTTTTTCTAGTATGTTTCCTTAAAGGTATCTTTAAAACATTTTTAGCCATACACAACTTTTTGTTGTGTTGTTAAGTGCTGTCGAGTCAGTTCTGACTCATAGCGACCCTGTATGGGATTTCCAAGCAGTGGCTGATGAGTTTCAATTGCTGACCTTGTGTTTCAAACCGTCCTGATGGTCCAGTGCTTTATCCACAGCACCACTTCTTGCTAAATGACCCATGTTAAAACCAGACACACTCTAATTATTTAAAGGTGACTTTTTTTTTTGAGTTAAGAATCTGACTAATTAGTAATCATTTAAAAATATATACTTAAGAATTTTTATGTAGAAAAGATAAAACATGCTACCAGAGAACATCAAAAGGCCAATAGGAATAAATTTTTAGATTATATAATCTAAAAATGCCAAGATCAGTAAAAGGAAAACAAAATAAGCATAGGGAATTCTTTTTATCAACTGTGGAAATATGTTTGAAAACCTGACTCTCATCTTCTGTCACCCTTTGGAAATCCAATCTGTTTTCTTTCCACTGCTTTTCTTTTTTTATTACTGGGAGCATATAGGAATGGCATTTCTCAACCCTTAACAGCTGGGAGGAGTGAAGGTTTAGCTTTAAAATCTTGAATGTGGAATCGTCATGTGAAATCAGGTAGTCATTAAAGATCTGAAGCTGAAACTCCTTCCTCTGGGATCTGAGAGAGGAACTTGAATAACATCTTTCTAACACACAGCTGAATTAGAGCAGTGCCTCAAGTGAGCATATTTGAGTCATCATCATTATCATCATTATTTGATTATTAAGCTACCTACACTTTACAAAGCACTATGCTAAGTAATTAGAGGGATAAAAACAATCCATGATCCCTCTAGTACAGAGGTTGAAAACACAGTCTTCAGGTTGGTTCTAAGCTAGCAGACATGTTTTATTTACCTAGCCCAAAAATAGCTTAACATTTTTCTAATTAGTTGTCAAAATTTAGAAATTGGATATGTATAAAATTATTTATTTCTGGTGTATTTTGAAAATATGGAAAATCTGTACCTCTGGGCCCACTTGGTAATATTTGTCTTCATTTATCCCTTTAGCAGATATTTATTGAATGCCCATGTTGTTGTTGTTAAGTGCCGTGGAGTCGGTTCTGACTCAGGGTTTCCGAGGCTGTAAATCTTTACGGGAGCAGACCGCCTCATCTTTCTCCTGCAGACCCGCTGGTAGTTTCGAACTGCTGACCTTGCGGCTCACAGCCCGATTCGTAACCACTATGCTACCAGAGCTCCTTACCTAGTGGGTGATATATTCTATGAAGAAAATCAGTGTGCTAATTGAGTGGTGGCTGATCCGTTTACACATGACATTTGCCTCCTAGTGTAATCTAGGTCGCTTATGTTCTTTTGTACCTAGTGTATCTTACCTTCTAGGATCAGGTAGTTATTTATGTTTTCATCACTAGCTTTGGAAAATCATTCAGTAAGAAACCCAAGGAATAAGGAATAAGAAAAATAAATATGAAAAATAAAAGTTATGAATTCACTAATTATAAATTAATGACAATAACATTCACTAATTGTCAAGTAAAAGCTCTTGACAGTAAATTCAAGATGTTTTAGAAGAGGGAGAAATATCTGTGGGTTAGAGCCGAGAGATCTATTTCATAGAAGAAATAGGATTTTGTATGGATACAAATAATGGTTTGGTTTAAGAGAAGCATATGTGTACAAATTTCTAGGAAGAGGCAATGTTATGCAAAAGATGTGGGACATCTATGGGAGAGGGCGTAGAGTTCTAGTTTTAAACATGGGTCTAAGAATTATATAGGACTATGTTTGGATTTCCACTTTGATTCTGTATGTTGTTGTTGTTAAGTGCCATCA